AAAAACTCTAGGAGTATTTTTCAACGTGTAACGTCAGCAAAAATAATGCTGAAAAAAAAATAAGTATAGTTACAATTTATTTTTTTTGTAAATCAAGTTCTAATAAATCTATTTATTCAACGTAGTCTACAATTTACTGATAGCGATTTATGCATTGTTTTTTTCAGTTCAAGTGCAGTGGCATATTGAGTTGACAAAAAAAACAAAAACAAAAAATTAAAAATATATCAACAAAATTAATTCTGTTCAATCAAGAAATCTTAATAGTACGTACTATAATAACGAATAGTTTCTCTGTCCGTATATGGTATTAAATGGTCGATTCTTGTCCAAACAACTATACGTTGCAATATAATATAAATAGGTAACATTCAGTAATTATCATTGATTTCGTGTGCCGTCCGGTCAAATAAGCCGCCGGTTTGAATTACCATTTCTAATCCGCTCCGCACTCGTATCTATTGTCATCAAACTAACAAATCATAAATTATTCATTTTGATATGCATTGTATGACTGACGAACGTCAATTACATATGGGATAATCGTTAAATACGTGATAGGAGACGTATTGTGTGATTTACTAAAACGGTATAATTTTATATGCTGTACATATGGTACTATCGCAGATAAATAAAAAAAAAAAAAAAAATTCATACGTTATACATCGAACATCGTGATACGACGATGTGATAATTATAAAAATAAATAATAATTACTGTTATTATTAAAAAACTACGAATAAATCTTGAAAAGAAGTGCGAGTGTACGATTTGCATTGAAACTAAGTAGGGCAAGTTGTTATTCCGATTTAAACTGTAAAAGTTCCGTCAATTCTTGTACGACGTACCTATAGTAACGTCGTACTTTTACGGACTCTTAAAATTATCACTGCCTATATCATTTAAATAATTTTGGATACACTTTGTGCGATAACAATCTTTAATGCATTAGACATAACTGTAGATCAAGTAAATGCCAGGAATATCGTGCGATCTCCGGATACTATTCAATTAAAAAAGTTCCGTCACGTGGTATACACTAAACATAACGATTTCACTATATAATTATAATTAAAACGCTAAAACAAGTTTTCCAAACACGCGCTAGCCTACAATGTTTCTCTCAGAGACAAAGTCATGATTTCGATTAAAACTAAGTTCCACCAACTTCAGCTCTCGAACCGTGTTCTTTTCTCTGACACTTGACGGGTGACCGTTGTAATTCATGAGACGTGTACCGCCCAACCGTCAAACAATGCTGCAATAATATTGTTTGTTATAAATATAAGTATTTTTGTAATTGCCAAACCGAATGTTAACATATTCAGTATTTCATTCATAATTTGTTATGTCCTTGAAACTTGTCATTTTCGACCCATAATATCCGCCCATAATATTATATGCATTCACGATGATAAATCTTGAGTTATATTTGTATGGTAAAGTATATACATAAAAATACATCTACTATTTTTTTTTTCAGTGTTTTCTACGTTATCAAACGTTTCATTTTTTTCCATACAATTCGATTACGGTGAATTCGTTTATCTACAATACATTTTTCGTACATGTAAGGTTTTTCATTTAATCATAAAGTCACTTTATTATTTGAACTTTTCTTTAAGCATATTAATTGCAAAGGAAATAAACAAAACATAAAAACACTAGTGTCATTAATATTTGCTCTTTCGGAATATGCTTAATGGTATTCACTATAGCCAGAACTACCATCGCAGCCCTATTTAAGTATAAACTCAAACGTATAGTTTTCAGAATTTTAAAAAATGTCATTATACAAAGAAAAATTAAGTATTTTACAAAGACATAGACTGGTATGATCTAATAATTTTTGCAAGTTAACTAACTGCACTAATTTCATTCACTTCTAATCCATGAAAATAACAACATTATTTGGTCTCAAGTATACGTTTATAACTTATATGTATATTTGCATCTAATCGAGTACTTTTATATGATTTTTTTTTTGCTAAACAAGTATCAATATTTTTAGTACTAGAGCTTCGACCTCTGTGTATTTTAGCACAGTTTCCTTTTAAAATATAATTATGTTTTGCTGCATATAATAATTCCTTTGAAAAGTAATTTTTCTTAGATTTTTTTATTTGTCCATGGTTAGAACAGGTACTTCATTCGAAGAAAATTTTACGTGGCCTATCAGAACTTGTTGACGGTTGATTTATTACTTACTTCTCTTTTATCATAGATATTTTAATTTCTAATTCCAACCACTAATTATTATTTAATAAAAATATTTTCAAACAATGCTTTGATTCAATCCATTTTTTTTTCGATGTACTACAAAACCCTACTACTTTTCCTCAACGCATTGCTCAAATTCCACTTATTCTTAATCTGTTTATCTTTCCGGTCTATAATAGAGGTATGTCATAAGAGTATTCCATAATTTAGAAGGACTTGTTTTCAATGTATAGCCACCATTATTAATACCTTCAAATAAACATCTATTTTTTACATTTCATGTAATGTTACATTTATCTAGAAAAATATGAATAATTGAATTTCGTTCAAGTTGGGACAAAAAATTAATGAAATATTTTAAAGTATTCATATATACATTTGAAAAAAAAAATAATTAATTAAAATACAATTTTTATTAATAAATAACAATTATAAGCATAAATTAAACTATAAAAATGTTAATTAAAATAAAATTGTATAAAGGATATTCAATAAAGGTGTCTCCACCACTTTAATTGTTTTTCACTTAATACTTTTTAAGATTTAATGTAACTCAAGTAAAATAATATAGCAACAAAAGTAGAATAGCGTCTTATTTCATAATGCACAACATTAGAACTAACTTTAACGATACTATTCGTTAAAAGTTCTTCATATTTAATATCAAATCACCGTCAACAAGTAATAAATAATATTTATCTATAACTATAGAATGCACTTTTCGATAACGCATATGTCTATTTTTGGTCAGCTAGAAATGCGATTGAAATCGCTGTACGTCTTAGATAAACATTGTGTACACATTTTGCAATAACATCGGATGGCATCTTCAACGGAACGGTTCATCAAAGTTTTGCTTTTCCATAGGTATTTTAGGTTTCGTCACCATGAATCGACTCGGACAAAATGCATGGTCATATTACTTACGGCTGTTCACTCGGGATCGAACGAATATCATTGTTTTCTATCAGTTTTCTTTCGGGTTTTCTTTCGCAAACCATTACGTATACATTCGTTCGATAATCGCTTACGATATCGGTTAACGCGTTATATAGCATTTTGAACAAATCCGTCCCGCCGCCAGTGATTTAACTTCAGTTTTTTCTAAAGCAGGGCATCAGGACATGGTTTTATTGAATTACCGACTCTTTACCAAAATGCTAATTGACATGGGTAGGAGGGGACGTCAAACCTGTCCAAGAATATAACGCTTTGTGCTTCATACATAAGTACCCGTCTCATTTTTCTGATTCACAATACGTTAACGGTTTTATAAAAGTTAAATTTATAAAAAATTTTATATTTTGATAATGTTACCGGTCAATAGCGCTGCAGGCACACGTCCTGGGAAGAAATTCCCACGGACTACCGGTGCGCGTTCCAGTGCGAGGGCTGTGGGGGCAAATTGAACCGTTGAACCAGCTACTCTTACTCGCATTTTGCCTTCGCGCGTGTTTTTCACCCACTGCGTTAAGCTTTGACCTCCGAACACGTAGCTTCGTCCGAACCTCGCACGAGCACAGGCATTTTATCCTGAACGTGCAGTGCCACAATAACCTGGTGTGTTGCGTGTGTCGTACACGTGGACTTAGCTTTCCCCTCTCCAGCTTATAACGGGGCACAACGATAAGAGCTAAAAAATATGTAGAAAGAGTGAAAACAATATCATTTCGTTACGATAATATCGATTTTCAAGCGAGTCATGAGTACGTAAAATATTACAATAAAAAAAAAAAGAAATTCGTAATTCACTTGAAAATTAAAATATCGGAAAATACTGACCAAAACTAATGATGTTCTTCTCTTAAAGTTTGATTATAGACCGTTTAACTTTTATATGAAAGCTAACATCACTACATTTGAACTACTGAACGAAAATTTGCTATGTTGTACGTGTATCAGATGGAGACAACACATGCGGGTATAGCGTCCTTACTTAACGAAGGTTGAACAATAATATATGATTCTTTTTTTTTTTTTACACATTGTACTTGAACGTTTTTTTTTTTCTTGCGGCCCGTATAATCGAAATTCCAAACAGTTTGCTTAGGATTTATTAAACGTACTGTTTCCCTAGAGCGTCCAAACTCCAAGGGTGGGAGGGAAATCCGTTTTATTTACACACGGACTCAAATCATTGTAGTTTGAGGTACCGCGCACACGGGTAATAAGTAATCCCGTCGGGTGCATGGTCGTCGCATACGGTACACTTTATCGCAATTGTCCGCATTCAGATACGACCGTTTCGCACAATCATGCCGTGGTGATGATCTTGTAATATTTTCCGAACAAACTTCACTGTAACGCCGTCTCGTCCGGCGGCCGGGGCACGCGCGTATGACGATCTTCCATCGTTTAGCTAGGGATCTAGCTCAGGGATCGGCAACTGGCGGACCGCGGTCCGAATCCGGACCGCGAAAGGCAAAACTATGGACCCTGTCAACACATTATACTTTATTATGTTATTTTCTGTAATAGTATCATTATTAATACAGACATTTATTTTATTTAATTTATCAAACTCAGATTATAGTTATATCATAATTCATTGAAAAATATTTTATCGGGCAGGTAATAATCGGTTTTATTACAATGTTATCGGCCGACGGCTGAGTCGCGAAAATACCAAATATTTCGATTTTCTAAGAACTTCGAAGAACCGACGGCGTAAAATTATATTTATTGCTTATCGTTAACTAAATCGTTAACTCTTTAGTTTTAGTACGTGCACATTCGCCGGTGGATACAGTGCGTGTTTCGTTTTATATTATTCGTTCAATATGTTGAGTAAAAAACGCAAAATCGACAGCGAAAATAGGAAGTTTATGAACGAGTGGACTGAACTATATTGTTTTATATTGCCTGAAAGGGTTGGAGCCATTCCAGTCTGTTTGAATTGCAATTCAACTGTCGCTATTATTAAAAGTGGAAATTTAAAACGGCATTATGAAACTACTCATAAAGATTTTCATACAACATTTCCTCCAGCCAGTGAAGTGCGTAAAAATAAGCTCCATGCATGTATGTTATCTTACAAAAATAGTACGACTAAACTTATACGGTGTATGAGTGAACAAGAATAATCAGCTGAAGCAGCGTTGCGTGTGTGCTGGGTTCTTAATAAGCACCAAAAACCATTTTCCGATTCCGAAATAGTAAAAGAGTGTATGTTGGAAGTGGCCACTGCACTTTTTCAAGAAAATAAAAAAATCGTTACCTCTATCCAAGATATTCCTTTGTCGGCAAGGAGTAACACAAGAAGGACAGAAATGTTGACAGCCGAAAACAAAAAAAGCTTATTTGAACTTTTACATAAGTCACCGTGCTACTGCATTGCGCTTGATGAATCTTGTGACTTAGTTGATTCTGAACAAATGTCAATTTTCGTGCGATTCTTTGATTTTGAAAATAAAGTGTTTAGAGAAGAGTTACTAGCAATATTGACATTTGAAGGCAAGACTCGTGGAGAAGATTTATTTAAAAGTTTTGATGACTTCATGAAAAAATCGGATTTGAGTTATGATAAAATTATGTCAATTTCCACTGATGGAGCTCCAGCGATGATGGGAAAAGAAAAAGGATTGTTAAAAAGAATCCGGGGTATTAACTTATCAATGCATAATTCACCAAACATCGCTTTGTAGTAAACTCAGTGCTATACTGAAAGACGTTATGGACGGTTTGATCAAGTTAATCAATTTTATCAGGTCGCGTTCTTCTCTTCAACACACACAGTTCAAAGAGTTTCTGTGTCAATGTGATTCGGCTTATTGAGATTTACTACAACACAGTCATGTTCGTTGGCTCAGTAAAGGTCGAGTAGTTGAACGTTTTTGGAACATTAAAGAAAAAGAAGTAAAAACATTCCTAAAAAATGTAGATACTGAAGAAGCAAAGAAGCATTCGGATTTCTTAGAAAAAAATCGAAATATAGTTGCAATGGCTTTCTTAAATGACATTTTGAAGTATTTAAATACGCTTAATGTCGAATTACAAGGAGAAGGGAAATAAATATGTGATTTAATACAAAGTGTGTCTACTTTCCGTCGCAAACTAAATATATTTAAAGGCGACATTGAACAAAAAAAAATTCATTCACTTTCCCACAATATTTGAATGCAAAAATTATTCTGAAATTATAAACATCGAAACATTTTTAAGTTTTTTGTCAGATCTTATGAAGGAATTTGATGCTATATTCAAAGACTTTTCTGAAATAGGAAAACTATCACAATTCTTAAAAACCCCTTACGATGTTCTCCCAGACGGAGAATGGACTGATGTAGCTGAAAAATTATTTAATCTTTCAAAGTCAAAACTCCAAATAGAAATAATAGACCTACAGAAAGATGTTTCCTTGAAGCAGTCCAGAAGTGCGTCAACTGAAGAATTCTGGGCTAAAGATGCCATTGACAAGTATTCAAACTGTAAGCAACTGGCAATCAACTTGGCTACGATGTTTGGTTCGACATACATTTGTGAGGCATCGTATTCAAAAATTAATTTTTTGAAAAACAATTATCGGACAAAATTAACAGACTCTCACCTTGTGGACACATTGCGCATAAGCTGTTCTCCACGAGTTTCCGATTTCAAAAAAGCTGGCTAAGGAAAAGAAATGCAATTTTTCGCATTAAATAATTTACTGTAATAAATATATTTTTTTTCATACTTTTAATATTGTAATTTTTAATATAAATTAATTGTAATAACTGAATAATTATTTTTATTTTTATACTGCTATTTTTAAAATATAAAGATTTGAAAATTTTTTTTTCACTGGACCTCATTGATTTATTATTTTAATCTTGAGGACTCCAATAGAAATTACTTGCCGACCCCTGAACTAGCTCATCGAACGGACCTTAATTTCGCGCCGATATCGGTTTTCATCCTTTGCATACAACGCATCCTACGCGTAACTGGTCGGTGACAAGCACGTAGTTAAGGTAGAAATATAGAAGCAATCGCCTATTCTCCCTCACCCACCCAAATACTATATTGTAGTAACCACGAATTAATATGTACGTTGTATTTCCACTATATTGCACATTATTTAAGCTCCAATTGTTTCGAAAAAGGTTAATCACATTTAACAGACAAAGGCGTTCATAAAAATATTAATATTAAATAATATTTTTTATGCGTTTTAGATTGTTCGCCACTTGAAGTGATAATCACAATAATCATAACACTCCTACTCGAGTTCCGAGTTACTAACAACGATAATAGCAATAAAAAACCGGTACAATCCGAGAAAGTTACATGTGTTTGAACAAAACATTTATACAAACGGAGTACGTATGGCGGAAGCAAAGTATTTTAATCCGAAATAGATTATTAAAAACTGCAAAATGTTTTCATGCTTTGTACTTTTTAGCACTGCATTAGTTCAATAATGAACAAATTATTTTTGTTTTACTTTCTATTCATCAATTATAAGCAATTTTAAAAAGTAATCCGCTTAAAGCAGTATTGGAAATTACCTTGTAAAGTTAATTTTACCTGTTAGTGTTATATTGTTTAGAAAATGTAATGGAATTAAAAAAAAAATCGATTACACAGTTTAACCTATTTAAGTTTATTGCTATATGATTCATTGTAGTATGTAGCGCAATTGAAGTTTCAAAAGGCGATTTACATATTATCAGATATATAAATATTCATAAGTATTGTATGTATTGTTACAGAACTTCCACCGTTGTATAGAAAACTTGTTATAAAAAAAGTATACTACTTCCAACATTCAAATCATTGTAATAGGTAGGAAATGGTATAAACTGCAATGGAAGTAATATCTAATGTGAAACCGTTTTTGGTTTATGCACAATTATTTTCTTTGTACGAATTAAACTTAATTAAATTTCATAAGACGCAATAAAACTTACTATAGTAAGATGTATTTTCAGTGCAGAATTTTTGTAATCAATGTAAACGAAATAAAATCAATACAAATTTTTTTATGATCCCTACCCAATAATATGATAGAAAATAAAAAATGCCACCATAATATTATGTAAATCGATAAATATCTAATCGCAACTATCTAATGAAATGACATTTCTTGACCGAAGTACTCTCTGAACGTTTTTTGATTAATAATAGTGTCGATTTAGTAAAATATCGATTGTACAACCATATACGGTGTATATATGCTACTCGTATGTAACATATCACTATTCGATTGCTTTCTTAATGTTAAAAAAATATTCTTGTTGGACAATAATAAATATTAAAAACTAATAAGATTGTTATGAAAGCAATTTAGACCATTCTCATCATATTGATCTTACATAAAATTTAAAACAAACACTTATTTACGTAAAATTCGAATGATGTTATTGTAGTTACTAATTACTTTTAAAATTGCCATTGAATGTGAGATGTCGATTGGCTTAGGCCAACCTCTACTCGACTACTTTTCTTCCGGTTCGTACCTGAAAACAAATGAGAGTGAAAACCGAAAAATAATACCGAAAAGATATTGTTAATTTTTTGAGTAGATTTACATTCGTGAGTATACATATAAGTTTGTAGGTACGCGTGGACGTCACAAGGAGGGTCCAAAAAATCGGAGACGACACACGTGCGCCGCCCCCTCCATTAAACATAATCGTTGATGGGTATCGTACGACAGATGAAATATATTCACGACGTCGGCAGCGAAAGAGATGCTCAACGAAATTCCGTTCTGGATCTGCCCGGGGGGCACGAGATAAGCGTTCCGGGAGCGGTACCGAGGATATGCGTAAAAGATGCACGTTTATACAAATAATCGAAATTGTCATTCAGAGACAACCTTTGGAATCGAACGCGTGTCTTTCCATCCGTCTCCGTAGTTGCCGTCGAACAGTGTTCACACCATATTTTTTTCCCGAACCATACACACCCGCAAGACGCAAACCTACCCTTTCCAGTGTTGCACACGATCACGTGCATACCCTTACGGTCCAATACCGCTGAACTTGCGGACGGGATTTTCTCCATCTCGAATTCGACTAAGGACTACATCCGGGTTCCCATGTGCGTGTGCGTAGGTGTGGGCAAATGTATTGAAAACTCGCCCACCCGTCCGTCGGTCCGCCGCTGCTGGTTGATTGATAGCCCATCGGCGAAGGCGGTTTGATTAAGCGTTTCGGCTTCCGGTCGACAGACATGGCACAATCGATACGCGGCCTCTATCCGACACATAGTATCGTATTATTTATACACGCGCGTACTTGTGCGTACACATTTGTTCACGTATTGTTGAACGCAACGTTACGTTATTCGACGCGTGATGCAATTTATACGTTTTTATATATATTACAAGTTTAGGCCAGGCACGTAGCCAAGGGTGGTGTTTCGAGTTTTAAGACGACACCCATCCCTTTACCGTGATCGGTATGAAAATCTGTCGAACACCGAATACTTTGGAATCCCGTAAATTTACATTATGTCTAATCAGATGATTCTGCATGATATTCGATATTATTGTTATTTTATACGACGGAAGATATTTTGTCGTACATTCGAAAATTATACCCCTCATATTATGATTTATTAATTTGATCTCATAATTTCACGAATGAACTACATCCTCTCGCCACAAGTAGTGTTCAAAAACCCATATTGAAATAGCACCTTAACTAAACCTAATCATCGCCACCTTCTAAGGATCATGGGCACGCGTCCCTAGGTAATAATTTTATTGGGTTTGAAACAATTTTTCGTGTAATATTTCGAGTAAGTGAAAACAACATTGCATAATATAACGTACGCCACAATTGCAACAAAAAAAAAAAAAAAAGAAACTTATAACACATCCCAATAAAACATTTTTCATCATTTAAATATAAGTAAATGATTGTCAATTGAAAAATAAATATATAGTACTACAATATACAATATAAATATTTGCCTTGCGCCTCCCCTAATAAATGCTTTCGCCTCATGGTTTAAGAACCTCTGGTATAGGGTATAATGGTTGAAATGGAGAACAAAAAAACAACCGTCGGAATCTTTTCAAATGGCAATAACTTTTACGCAGTGTTTTTAAGACGTATACAGAAAGATAGTGATCATCACTCGTCCAAGAGTCTCGCGTAAACATATTTTACCGACCGCGACGGTGTATATATTTATTACAACAATACAACACTATACCGTCACGATGTGTGCGATTCGATATTAAAACGAAATAAATGTAATATACGCGGACCGGAATGCGAAAAAACTGTATAAAAAAAAAAGTTTTGCGAAAAAACATCGTAATACGAGTATGCTGCCAAGAAGTGCAAAATTGTAAAATAGGAATGTTTTTTTTCCTTCTATTCTCCGTACTTCTCTTCTTTAAATAAAATAACGTCGTAAATTAATGTAATAAATTCAACAATATGGAGCTTTTTATTCCAACTTTTTGAAAACAATTTTTGTTTGTCATTATTTTTCTAATATTATAAATTTATTGCGTGTCACTTTAATATATAAACTTAATAAAACTTGATCGTGAGGAATATTAATTTCAATTATTGTCACAGAACTTCCTTATAATATAGTGACACTTAGGAAAGTGCAATATTATAAACAAAAACATTGATTCAACTTCTCTATGTGTACATCTGCAGAGTGCACGCGTTGTAGACCTATGTAAAAAGTATAGATTATACAAGTAGGTTATAACCAACTCCGACACAATGATGCGCAAGTCTAAGATGATTTTTAAACTTAAGCGATGGCACGATGTAAATACACATATGAAAGGATTAAACCCATCATAGTAATGTATGTCACATAAATTAGAAATACAAAAAGTTTTATCAGAAAGCTTATAATAGATTACCGAATGATCACTATCCCTTAGGTTGACCGCATACACGAGTACACGATTTTAGGGAGAACGCAACTGTTGTGAAGAAAATCAGTTGAATATTGTCCACCTGTGCATGAATATCATACTTGTTTACAAAAATGTGTACCGATACATTTGAAAGTGCTTGGAAATATATTACACACATTATTAATATTACTAAAACTTAACGTTTTACGAAACCGTAACGTGATAAGTTATATTAAGAGCATATATGCGTACATTGCGACGTACTTTTTATGCATGCGTTACATTTTATGCGTGTAACACAGTCCGTAGACAAGTTTAAACAAAGTATTCTATTCGTCATACGGTACGTAATAGCGAAGATACAATTCATTATGGTACACCCATCTGTCGGGAAATTACAAGCCAAACGTAAGACGCTATCTGTAAATCTTGGGTTTAACGCGTATGATCAATACCGGAAAATTGAATGTGATAGGGATAATATATTGTATTATTTACACGAGTTGTTTATCATTACATTGGGTCGAATGCCTTTCTCAAATATGTAATAAAAACCCTTTGATAGTCGTATTCCTCGGGCGCAGTACGCCTCGAGCGACGTCATTACTAATTTTCATTATAATATATTGTAGATGTTCCGAGCGCGGCGCTTTTTCGATTTTTATCCGGTTGGGATTTCAAAATGTATTTGCATCTACAGGCTTATCCTTTTGCGCGTACCAAGACAGAATATCGTATCGTTCTTCCGGTTAACAATGCAAACACAACGCGTACCCGTGGGTATTGAATTATGTTGTCGCAATTCGGTTAGGTATTTTCTAGAGCTTAAATTGTATATTTACAGTCCTGACGGCAATTAGGTTTATTTTTAAACCTCCAAACTTTGTGTCTTTAAACGATTTCCAAAAAAGATGAAAAACATTCCTAATTATATGATTGACAAGAAAAACAAGTTGAACGCATATTTTATACGCAAGACTTTGACTCAGCTGTGCCAGGTTGCTTTAATTTTTTATGGTTAGACTCAGAGACGAACTTAGGATAAGATTTTAGAAGGGGGGGGGAGGTTGAAGAAATGTAAAGTATAAATGAATAGCATCATTTATGCTAGCGGCTTCTTCTTCCTCATGTCTTCATGAGTTTTACTACTTTTCAAGAGTTCTAGCCACCACAGTTAACGACTTTCAATGTTCGCGATCCTGGATTTTTCATCCTATTCCGTTGCCATAATTACTCCAGATCTTGTCGGATTCCATCCTGGATTTTCTTAAACATATCTTTGGGTCTTCATCTTGCAGTTTTCTATTCGATTGCTGCCCTAGCTTCTAGTAGGTTACTTCTCTCCTTATCGTGTGCCTAAACAACTGAATTATTTGTCCCTTCACATTGTGTTATAAGTTCCTCAAGTGATTCCTCTTATTTCCGCATTTTTTCTCCTTCACCATACATTTATTGTATTGTCAAACACTGGGTGACATATTTTCCTTAGCTCATTAGTCTTGAAATTTCTAATAGTACGTTTAGTTTTCACTGTCATCGGACATACTTCACAACCATAGGTTAGTGTTGGTCTTATAATAGACATGTACAGTTTGATGTTTGTCTCTTTAGATAATAGTTTCGATATGAAATATTAAATTAGTACATAGAAGGTTCCTTCCACTTTGAGCTGACAACAGGGTATTTCGATATTCCAATTGTTATTGCTCGTTATTGTGGCTACTGAATACTTAAAACTATGAGTTCCCTCGAACATTTTGTTATCCATCAAAAAATATTTTTCATCGTTGTTTGTTAGTGTTCCCAATACATTTTTCTTTTTCTCGTTTACTTCTAGACCAATGATTTTTGCTTCTTGTATGAGTGTTTTGTATTTTGAACTACTGTTCTCTTGTTTTCGCCTACTATTTTCAGAACGTTTGTAAAATCGAGTACATTTTGAAAGAACTATTATATTTTATGTCAGATCATTTTTTATTAATTTATTTTCTTATATTTAAGGGTTTAGAGAGTTCCCCTGTTACCCCTCTCTTCGTTTGCGCTTAATATAGGCCTGATTTAAAAAAAAAATCGTCTAATTACACATGAAAATTATTAATTAAATGGTAATGACATTAAATACCATTATAACTATACTGTTTTAATATGTTATATTTTGTTCTTATAATGACATTCATTAAAATATATTTTAAAATTTTGTAGTACATTGATGTTACACTTTTATTAGACAACGAAATACTAAATTCATTTATTAATTTATTGACATAAATAATAGGTAATCATTTATATTAATATATGACTACATACAGTATAATATGAAACGTAAATTAGTTACTCATAATAGATGGTTGATGGGACTCGCGCTGATGAAAATTTCGAGCAATGCCCATAATCGCCGGGTACCTATGACATTAAAGTAAAATTAAAGTAATATTTTTATACTATACTTATGGATGCTAAGTCAATAGTCGATTTAATTGCAATAATACGTGGATGTGAACCCATAACTGAATCTCTAGCCGGGGCCTGACAAGATTTTTATATTTTTTTAGTAGACCTGTGCCCCCGACATATGACCCAGGATAACAGGTCCAAACACAACCTTGATTATAATGTATATGTACTATGATTTGCCTTATATATGATTAATGAATGACAAATGTCAAAAACTGATTACGAGTATATACTAGAAAAATAAAATTTTATTCCGTATAATCTCTTTCAAAACTGTACATAGTTAACAAAAGATATTTAAATATTAATTTGATTAATTTTTTCCTCGCGGGAATTTGAGCGTAATTGCATGTTACGAGATTTTGCAATAATCATTTTTACTCGGCATGTAATCATAGCATTAATAATAATAATAATAATTATAATAATAATAATAATAATAATAATAATAATAATGATAATGATAATGATAATGATATAAACTGTAGGTGAATACCAAAGTGGATTCAGAAAAGGAAAATCAACCACAGACCATATATTTGTCGTGAGACAATTAATGGAAAAGCATTATGAATACGCAAAAGACCTACATATGGTGTTTGTGGACTATAAACAGGCCTATGATAGCGTGAACAGGGAAAAACTATGAGAGGTGCTCAAGACATTTGGGATCCCTTTGAAAATTATCAAAATGGTACAATTATGCAACAGTGAAACGTATAGCAAAGTTAAACTTGGGAATGAGGTGTCTATGGCTTTTGAAATCAAAAGTGGACTAAGACAAGGGGATGCCATGTCACCCATATTATTTAAAATGGCATTGGAAAGCGTGGTACGTGAAATATCAAATGGAGATGCCTGGTCACCTCACAGAGGACTACTACTCGCATACGCAGATGACATAATAATCACTGGAAATACTAGAACAGAAGTCCAAATGAATCTGAAGAAATTAATGAAGGCAAGTAAAAATATGGGTCTTTTAGTAAATGAAGAGAAGACAAAATACATGGCAATAACAAGAAGATCAGAGGATAGCTCCAACCTTAAAGTAGAAAATAAGGAATTCGAACAAGTTAAAGAATTTAAGTACCTTGGTGTAACTCTAAACAACAAAAATATTATGCACGAAGAAATTAATGTGAAGCTGAATGCAACAAATCGATGTTATTTTGCAATGGAGACGATATTTAAATGAAAATTGATATCAAAAAATGTCAAAGAAAAACTTTATATAAGTAACATAAGACCGGTATTGACGTATGCATGTGCCACATGGGCCACAACTGAAGGTGATGAAGAAAAACTAAGTAGATTTGAAAGGAAAATCTTAAGAAGAATACATGGTCCAGTATTTAATACCGAAACCCAACAATGGGAATTAAGATCGAATGCACAACTCGAGAACCTATACAAAAGAGAAAATATTGTACAATACGTTAAAAGTATATGAATGCAATGGGCTGGACATGCGTGGCGTGCGGAAGGATGCCTGATAAAAGAAATAATGATTTGGACGCCAACAGACCAAGGGGAAGACCCCGAAGAAGATGGATAGACAGCGTAAATGAAATATGGAATGCGGTAGGCCAAGAAGTTAGGACGAATTGGCGAATCATAGCGCAAGATAGAGAGAAATGGGAGGAGATAGTTTTGACGGTAAAGATCCTCAATGGATCGTAAAGCCGGAAAAAAAAATGATAATGATAACAATACATTTTTACTTACTATACTAAAATAACAACCTATGATAATAAATTAAATAAATCTTATCGAATCAATGTAGTAACATTAATATTATTATTTATAGCGGTTACGCGACTTTCAAATATTATACTACGGGCTGTATGCATACATAATCACAGATCGCCGTTTACACCGGCAGACATGATACGTTTTACCGTTTTACTGGCTTGCGGAGAAAACATGAGTCGAATATTTGAATATTAATTATGTAAAATGTACGTATTTAAGTCTTTACGGTAAAGTTTATATAAATTTATATAATTAAAGTTTATCATATTTAATTGATTTATGGATCGAGTTTTCAAAATACTATTTATTACAATATATTTCACCTTAAATTTGTATAAATAGTTCCAATTTGAACTGCAGAATATTTAAGTATTATAATAATTTTATCACCTAATTGTAGAGTTAGATAATTCAATTTTTTTTTTAAACTTTTCAGCACTGAAAAAACAAAACAAAAAGTCTGTGTATTCATTCTAAAATAAGGTAATTTATGTGTTTACCTACGTAAGAACATTTGTAAATAAAAAAAAATGTGTTATTAATATAGCTAAAATGTATTAAATGGAGGTTTTTTTTTTTTTTTTTTTTGAAGGAAATAATTAAAATAAACTAATAATGCCATTATGCATCGACAAAACCACCAAATGAGTTATACAATTTAAGATTATAATTGTGAGCGCATGTTATTGATCTTGAAAAATTAACGTATTAACCAATGTTTCGTATAAAACATATACAAGACATAAATATAAAGATATATTATATATTATATATTATTATATATATATTATAAATATAAATATATAGACATATATAAAACATATACAAGATCGCATAATTTATTGTACAAGTAGAGGAACGAAATTAAAAGGAAATAATTAACGTTTCGAACGAAAGTTTTTGTATAATTGTACGAGAAGCAGTATAAATATGCTTATACTTTTGTGGAGCGTAATATTATAATATTAAATAAATATTGCGGGTTACAAAAAACCACTCACGGATGAAGGATAGCAATAAAATAAATATAAAGGAAAACAGGTTCAAGGAAAAAACGGAATAGTCATTGTATGTATAGGCGTGGAAAAAATGTCCGAGTAAGCGAACGTTAAGTTATAAAATAGATTTTTGAAAAGAATATGAGTTTGCACCGGAGAAAATGTAAAACTTTTTATTACTTTGCAAACGAATGAATGGCGTTTACAAACAATGAAGTTTAACAACAGCGCTTTGCTCACTTACTATTCGTGGCGGTGGCGGCGACTTCTGTGCGTACAATTTACTCACAAGATCCAATCTACGTTTATATGCACGTTTGCTTGTTAAGCAACTTCGAACTGTGGTATAACAATACATTATATAAGAATAGCACCGTCTGAAAAATCGATAGTTAAATATGACTGAGACTTGATAATTGTACCTACTACTACGCACGCGTCTGTGGTAAAAATATAATGATGAAGAATGATTGGTTTCGGAAAAACTACTACATGGATAGGTTATAGTGAAATTCAATAACATTATTTTACAGCCTTTATGCGGTGACATTATAACAATTAAATGAATAATTAAAAAGAAAATAAATCGCATTTGATTCGGTCGAACAAATATCAGACGCGTGCGCTGTTTGTGCCCAGCAATGCTGGTTACTACCGTTTAATAAAAATCGATCTTAAAACTAATTTCAATTTTTTTTTTTCTTTGATGCTGTTTTGACAAGTTCTTGTACGAGTTAATCGAAACGCATACAGAAAGTTGAAAAAGTGATTAGTTTGTAAACCGTTTAAACCGCAGAATCCTTTCTGTATAAGTAATACCTATAAATGAAACAAAGTACGAATGACGTATAAAATAAAACCAATAGAAAAGCAAATTCTCTGAGATTAATTTTACGATACTTCAAAGTAACGGTAGAATATTATTTTTCGTATGTTAGAAGTACTTAATTTGTCAACAAAGCGAATAATAAGTATTAATCTTTTCGAATATTTACAAAAATGAAAATTCATCGTTACGTGCGACACACCGATCCGTGTCTATGGTGCATTATAAAAGCAAAACAACCTGCTGCACACTGCACTCAGTGGTGGCTCGTGCTATGGTGCATGTAATCAATAGCTACTGTAAAAGTAGATAATGAATAAAAAATACGAGTATTATATCATGCATATATATATCATATGAGATGAAATATTATTAAATTATACAATTAAGTTATAGTTCTTTTAAGAATTTATGTTTACAATAATAGTTATTGTGACTTACTCGGTTTACAGAATTCTGATATTATATATATATATATATATATATATATATGTGTGTATATATCTATTTTGTTTTTTTCATTTGTTAGACGAGTGGTGGTAGGAATGAAAGGTAGATATTTGACATTACAAATATAAGCATCAAACTACAATGTTGTTATATGTTATCAATAATTATAAGGATACTTGAATTTGGTGATGATAAACCATTAGAATTTATTTCAACAATACCATTTTCCATACCAAGTACGATTCGGTTATCGGGTCAGGTAAGAAGTGTAGTTAGATGATGCCCAAACAGCTTCATCTTGGGACCGGAATTCGGACAGAGGTACCATGTCAGGGTTCGGATATAAAGCGCATAAACGTCGTTATTTTCTTAGTGTAAACAGTGGCGCGATTACCAGGTTGGATGGCGATATCTAACATCGGGGCTTATAGGCATAAACTTAGAAGGTATTTTTAGTACGAAAGAATTGAGTAACACATTTAATAGTAAGTAAGTAGTACGTTGTCAGTGTTGAAAAAAAAAATAATTTACTGGAAATACTTGAGGCTCCAATTTTCCTTATCATCCGGGCCTCAAGATCCTAGTAATATCACCGAGGGCAAAACTCGTGTATTACACGAGTTGGTGTTTATTATTATTACCTTTACATCTATACGTTTCCTCCTCCATTTTTCCTGATTCTCTCCTCCATCTGTTTTCCTTCGCGAGACGTCTAAAGTCAATTGCCGACGACGGTATCTGCAATATAATTTTATTTCAATCAATCACAACCACTTCCAATATGTTCTCGTGTTATTCTTGTTGCATTCGGCAGTATTTTTGAACCATTTACACGAAGCATATAACCGCAACCGTAGGCAGGGGCGGATTAAACAATTATCCGCCCCTATAAAAAATTAAATTTGCCGCTCCTATATAGAAAAAAATAACTTCTACATAGTAAAATATCCTTAAATAAATTTACTCGTAAATAACACTGTTATCATTTTAAATAATTTACGCGTACGTATACTAATCATTGGACGGAAATCTATCGACTAATTCAATAAAATAATAAACGGATAATTTGTAAAATTTACTTGTCAAATAATGTTTGTAATATTATTGACAAATATAATACTTTAACGCATTAATGCGCCACTATTTTTCCATCTAATGAGTGATTAAATTGAAGATACATGTAAGCGGTGAACCTGTACCGATAACGCCATATCTAACAATTTCTATAAGGAAACATTTTTCGATACTCCATTATATATATATATATATATATATATATGTGTGTGTGTCTAGAATTGAAGTATTGTAGATACTATAATTCTTCAAACAATAAGATAAACTAAAATAGAATACAATCGTCGTCGTCGTCGTCGTCGTCTTCATTACCCATGTGTTTCTGGGAAAAAATGAATATTACTTTGCTAAAAGTAAACGAATACAAAATCCTCACTTACTGTTCAAAGTTAGTAGTAATGGTTAAATAAATTTTAAGAAATATGTAATTTTATTACATAAGAACAAAACCAATATTCAACATCCTCTAAAATGTGCCGCCCTATGCGGTCACTTGGTTCGCAGTGCCTTAAATTCACCCATGACCGTAGGTTTGGACTATGCGCC